ATTTTGATGCCTTTTCTTTATCTATATCACTACCAATACCTTGGTACAAATAATAACTATACCAAAAAGTTAATACTTCATATACTTCATAATACTTTTTCAAGAAGGCACGGTTTTTCTTTTCTATCCTTAAACGTTCTGGATTTTCTTTGTCTAATTTTCTTCTTTGCTTGTGATTAATTAAAATTTCATTATTAAATTTCTCAATAATTATAAGATAATTAGTTAGAACTTTCAATCTTGATGAATTTTCTTCAATTTTCTTATAATGTTTTGTTGGAATAATTTCTTCTATTTTTTGTTTTTTGAAAAGGTAAATGATTTTGTATATACTACATTTTGATTGGTGCACATGATATATAAATCATTTTATATTTTATTAAATTAACTTTAGGATTAGGTTAGATTTTATGTAGCTATAAACAAAATTGCTTTCTCGATATTTTTAATTAACCCATCTGAGAGTAGGGTTACACTGCTATTTTTTGTGTTTTTCGTTCAGCGATCATCAAAATTTTATAATTTGAGCAATTTGAGCTCTGTAGAAGAATATGCAAGTTGTGAATATTGTTGAATCCCAGGATTTTAATCATGAAAGCAAAAATGAAAGTTTCGTTCTCTTTCTTTTATTTTTAATTGAAGTTCGCAGGTTTATTGCTGCCAAGTTTTCAAACTTAAGCAGTAAAGAAATTTCCAATATTATTTTAAAATTATGATCATGCTTACCTGAAATTTCAAAAGCAGAATATAATATGAAGGCGATTAAAATGAGAAAACATTCAGATATTTTAAATGTTTTTCCTTTTCAAAAGAAAAGAAAATTTTCAGATAGTCTTAATTCATACCCACAATATTTAACGCAAAGTCATAACCTAATACGAATGATTCTCTCTTGTACTCTTTCTCTGTCAATTGTTACTAATAACGAATTTAGACAATTTTGTAGTTCACTTGATTCAAGATTTATACTCCCAAATAGTGAAACTATAAGAAATACAATTATTAATGCATACGATCGAACCAACAAATTTATTCAAAATAAAATAATTGAAACTGCCAAGTTTGTAGCACTTACTTTAGATTTTTGGTCACATTCTTATATCGAAATAACTTGTCATTAGATTATATGTGATTTTAAATTAATTGATGTTGTTCTTGATGTGATGAACTTTTCAGAAGCTTATACAGCGACAGAACTTTCTGAAAATTTTCAGCTTCCTTTATCTAAATTTGGATTAGCTCAGGAAAAAATTGTTAGCATTACTAATGACAATGATAATGTGAAAACAGCTTTGTTACAAATGCAAATTGAAATTATTCCATGTTTAGCAATACCTTAAATATTAGTGTTGAATCGGGATTGCTATATGCTAATAACATTTTAAACAAGTCAAAAAAGTTAATTGAAATTTTAGGCAATGAAACAAATTGCCAAAGATTAAGAGACATTCAATAGCAAATTGATCGAAATATTAAACAACCATTGGATGTAATAGAAGTCAAGAAAGATTGAAATTCAATTAATCATGCTAATTGCCGTTTAATAATACTACAACCCTCAATTTGATATTTATTTAATACTTTTAATAACAATATATTAGGTATTAGTAGAGAAGATGAAAAACTAAAAGAAAATATACTTTCTAATGATGAATTTGATATATGTAGTATTAACTTTTTGGTATAGTTATTATTTGTACCAAGGTATTGGTAGTGATATAGATAAAGAAAAGGCATCAAAAT